GCAGATTGGCTTAAAGGCCAACACACCTGCCTCATCGATGAAACCTCCTGTTTCACGTCTCACACTTGACCGTTCGCCCCTCATGCTCTAATTAGTCAGTTCCTCCCAGGACCTGCCAGGGTACAACATGCTTCTTCACACAGCTGTCGTAGTAGGTTGCCGAACCATCTTGTCACATGGATGAGGTCATGAACTTCTTAAAGGGACAGGCTGTGTCTTGTTTTTATATCCTATGTTGCCAGAGAGAATTGCTGTGTACAAAAGCGAACGAATGAAGTAATGCATCCACTTGATTGCAGCTTCTGTGCCCCAAATGCAACGCCAAGTTGGGGTCTTTCAATTGGTACGGCGAGCAGTGTTCCTGTGGCAGGTGGGTAACGCCCGCCTTCCAAGTGCACAAGAACCGGGTGGACGAGGTGAGAGTGCTGCCCGCCCTGGGACCACCGACGAGAAGAGCGTGAACAGGTGACGCTTCACAGCCGGAGAGGAGCTGGCTGGTCCCCACGGGCTCCTGGCTTCTTGCCGTTCACACGGAGAATCTGGGGTGCGGACCGTCAGGGTTCACTAGAAATGTGGGAAGATGAACCCACGGGACGTGACTTGGACACTGTGGTTTAAGTAGAATACTTCGTGTGGAAGCCAGAACTTTTTGATTTCGCAAATTATACTTCATTTGATATTAAAATCTTCTATAGTCCATATACTCTGTTTTATTTGTTTTTAGAGAGAGAGGGTGGGAGGGAGAGAAACATCGATCGGCTGCCTCTTGCATACGACCCTCGTGGGGACCAGGACCGCACCCCAGGCATGTGCCCTGACTGGGAATCAAACCAGCGAGCTTTCTTTTTGCGGGATGACGCCCAGCCCACTGAGCCACACCAGCCAGGGCTCAGATATTCTTTTATGTTGGGGAATGTAAAGCATATTTTTTGGGATGTAGTTGGACATTTATTTCTCTTCCTCTCTTTTGATGGACAGTAAATCTCTGCATGTCTGGATTTTTTTTGGAAATGCAGACGTAAAGGCCACGAGGGAAACACTCGTTACGGTGGGACTCTTCTGTCACTTCAGAAAGCTCAGTTACCTAGTATTTTAGAAAAGTGTTTCAGACGCCTAGGTAAGCCATCTGCTTAAATATACTGATGTTAGGTGTGTTTCTAGTGACAAGGGAAATAAATGTGGAACAGCCACAGATCAGTGACTTTTTAAGCTTGATTCGGTAGAGTGCTAGAAGGTAATGTGTCCAGGTTACCTTGTTAGCGTGATTTCTGGAAAGTGGACCTTTTTAAACTCATTACAAATAGTTAGAATTGGACCAAATTAGTTATTTGAACATTTAGATGAAATCAGACTTAGGCAATAAAGAGAAACAGAGCCCATGTTCTTAAGACGTGTATTTACACATGAGAGTGTGTGTGAATATAGAGACCAGAACGGGCAGTGTTTTAGATGCAAACCAGAGCAGTTACAATGACCCTGTTGAATGCTGCTGTGTCTTTGATTGTGTGGGAGGTGGGGGACCTCAACATACGACCTGAAGCCTTTGGCAATTCTCGTTGAATAAATTTCTCTTAGAAAAAATTTCTCTGTTTCTGCCCCTGTAGTCTTCACACTATGCTTCATAATATTGCACTGTAGGGAGCTTCTAAAAACCAACTGGGCGGAACCATATGAAATTGCCATCTCTGTAGGTAGAATGTCTTTGAATTGCTGCAGTTTCCTGTGGCTCGAATTAACACCTCCCTGTCTCACAGCACAGAGAAACTTATGTAGAATTTATTTACGTTCACGTTCACTGATTCAGGAAATACAGGGCAGGGCGAAAATAGGTTGATAGCTGTGAGTACCCAAGACGCAGTTTACTCTGGTATTATTATGATTTACCAGTTATTGTATTGTTTTCCACACGAACAACTGCAAGCCTACTTTTGCTGCTCCCGTATTTCCTGAGCATCTAAGTGCACACCACCGTGGCTGACGCAGTGAACAGACTAGAGAAACTCCTGCCTTCTGGGAATTTACAATCTAGCCAGGAGATTCAGACGAATACATTTTTTTGAAAGATATTTTGTATTTGCCAGTGAGGTATGCATTGGGGGAAACTTCATGTGAATTTGGAAGTTCTGTGAAACACTAAACGGAGTTTTCAGATTTAAAGTCCTTTAATGGTTAACTTTTGGGGGGTAGACAGAAAATCCCGTGGCCTTTGTTCTAAAAACAAAAACAATTGGAACTGTTTCTTTTTTAATATTTAGGAAATCAGCTCATAGCGTTTCAGTTTACACTTGTTGGAAGCAGCAATATGACCCATTTCAGAGGCTCGGTGCAGGGAAAACAGCACCAATGCTGAAGTCGGTCCACGGGCTCGGAGAAGTCCGGCTCTTCCGGGAAGGGAGCAAGCGTCCATTTGAAAATCGAGGGTCTCTCCTCACAGGGTTCTTTCACTTGCATGAGCCTTCATTCGTTCGCGTGCAATATGAAGATGCTACTGGTGTCCACATTCGGACGCACGTAGTAAAGGATTTAGGATAATGCCTAGCTAGCAGCATGCAACAGCTTTTACTTAAAAACAGCTACACTTTATTGAGCACTTACCACATGCCGGTCACCACGCTAAGCACTTAATGAGTGTCATCCAATTTCATCTTCACAACAACCCTTTGAAATTGATCCTGTTATTCCCATTTTACAGGTGAAATTGAAGCTTAGGAGTAGGTCACTTCCTCAAAGTTACATTGCTAGCAAATGGTCAAACCCACATCAGAACCAAGATTTGGCTTACTCCCAAATCTGACCTTCTAACCTATGTGTTCTGTGCTTGGGTTCACAGTTCAGGGTGATACATATCTTGAAAGTGTCTTACTGAAAATGTGAAATCTAGTACAACTGGTGAAATGCAATTTTTAAACTAGTTATAAATCCACTAGTTGGACACCCCACCAATATTTGCAGGGTTCAGACTACTTTTATTTTTAATTTTTCATCCAGAAAAGAAGTCTTATTTAAGGATAAAACTTAAAATTTTCATGTTAAAGTTGGGAACAAGTAAAAAGATGCTTACTATTGCCTGTACCTTCGATACTGTAGAAGTAGTACTAGCCATTGCAATAAAATAAGAAAAAGTTGCAGGCTTAAAAGGAAAAAGCCTGACCAATAAATCTTCTCTAAAAGTGAGATCACTAAAAATTACGTGCCTCCTGATATGATGCTGTGAAGTATTCTTGCAAATTTTAGAAAAAAGTAACAAAAGTAAAACCATCTAATTAGAGTTCTAGATTTAACTGGCAGTTTACAGGAACAAATTGCCATGAGGACACAATCAGCAGAACCACAGTGTGGCAAATTCTACAGGACAAGTGACAGGTTCTTCTCTTGTGTGTTTAAAATTTTCTATATTGAAGGTTAATTTTTAAAAAGGTCACAATGTTATATAAACTAAATTTTATCATGTTTGTGTTTGCATACAAGTTATTCTGCATAAAAAATCCTAGAAAAATTTCAGACAATATTAGAATCACATAATTCAGCAAGATTTTTGGATACAAATTTACTGTACAAAAATCAATAATTTACTATACCCCAGCAATAACCAAATTAGAAAAATGTATAAAAACCCCTAAATTATGAAAAGAATATTTAAAAAATCTTAATGACCTCAGGAGTGGGAAGGGTTTCTTCAGCAAGACAGAAGTAGCAGAGATCATAAGCAAAAAAACAAAAAGAGGTGGGTAAATGTTGACGGCATGGAAATGAAAACCTATAGGACAAAAACCCTGTAAACAAAAACATGTCGGACTAGAAGGGACACCTGTTAAATGAACAGAGTGAGCTGTTTAAAGATGTACGTGTAATAGAAATTCAACAGCAAATTTTATAAAAGAAGGATGGGAAATTCTCAGAAGGGAAGTAAGGTTTAATAAGCATGGAAAGGTGCGTCACAACTTTACTGGTTGGTAAATTGTAAATTGTAGACACACCCTTCACAAGTAAAAGTCTGACTGTGTCTGGCGTTGGTGAGAGTGTGAACCAAAGGGAGCTCATCACTGCCAGCCAGGATGCAAATTGGCTTAATTTGGCAAATATTAATACTCCTACTCTGTGACCCAGCATGTATCTTAGACATGCCTGCGTGCACGCACGAGAGACTCATACAAAAATACATTTTGTGTAACAGTAAAAAATTGAACAACTCATGTCCATCAGGAAGATGAAGGTATAAGCTGTGATATATATTCAAGGAAATACCATATAACAGTTTACACTCGGATAGATCATTCAAAAGTGATGTTGAATGAGAAAAATGATTTGGAAAATTGAGCATAATACATTTACATAAATCTTAAAACCGCCCAAACAAGACTGAATATATGTATAAACATATTTAAACATAAAATAAAAAATAAAAATGAACTTGAATGATTCCCATAAAATTCATAATAGACGTTGCCTATATGGATGGAGGGAAAAGTGGAGTTCAACTTCATAGTCTTTAGTTTTTAATTAACAGAAAGTTAATATTTGTTCATCTTTGGTGATAGGTACCACAAGTGTTCGTTTCATAATCACCTTCTCTGTTTGAATAAAGATTTTTGAAAGTTAAAAAATTACAGAAAACTGTACTTGAACAACAATAAAAAATAAACATTAAAGCTTGCTGGAGGTCAGTCACGGTGACTTAAAACAAACTGCGGTGGAAAAAAAAAAAAAGGGGTGTCCGGTGCATACAGAACACCAGAACTTTTGCTGGTTTGATTTTAGTTTTCATGACAAGTTTTGAACTTGCAGTTGCATGGGAATGAAAATATTAACGTCACCCTACCGAAAAACGGTCAGTTAACTGATGAGGACAGGAACCGCGGTCCAGCAAGGGGACCTGGGGCGGGCTCTCTGGGCGGGGCCCCACGGTGTTTCCAGGTTGTGGACGACGCAATCGGCGGCAACAGCCGCACCGGGCGCGCGGAGGGTTCTGGGAGGCGTTTTTTTTTTCCGGGGCGGGGGCGGGGACCGTGGGAATGACTGCGCTGGGCTGTAAGGGATACGTGTTCTTAAGGTCGGGTGTTTTCAACTTTGTCCGCCGAGCACGCGTTAAAAACGGATCCTATTCAGTGGCGTTCTCGAAGCTGTTTTATAAAACTCAGTTGAGTGTTAAGTCGGAGTGGATTTCTTTTTCTGCACCTAACCGAGTTTCCGGCCTGAAAAGGTAGGGAATGCGCCTCATCGGGGAGGCGCGCTGAGAGTCGCCCTCCCTGTCCTGGGCGTGGGGACCGTCCCCTCTGCAGGTTCGAGCGCGTTCTTTCTTTCCCCGCGACCCCGCGACCCCGCGACCCCGCGAAGGACTTGTACGTAGATTGCGAGTTGCTCGGAAACTCTGTACCCGACTCGCTCTCTGCCTCCAGGGTGGCCGGGGAGATCCTGTGAAGGGCGTTTTCAGGGAACCAGCCCGCGTGTTTACAGTGTAACATCACTTTTCCTTGTTTATTTCTAGTTTTTCAATCTCCGTGGATATTCGGAGTTATTTTACCCTGGTTTCAGGTGTACCGCATGGCGGTCAGACAATTATGTAACTTACGAGGTGGTCGCCCGGTCCTTCGAGTACCCACCTGGCAGCGTACTTAGTTCTTAGAGGAGGGCATTTACTTTTCTGTTTTAATGTTATCAATAGCTTTTGTTTCAGCGACGCATTATTTACCACGTGTCTCATTTCCCCCTCTGAACAGCGGGACAGAAAGTGCTGCCAGCTCAGAAGGGAGCTGTCGGAGTCGCCGCGATCTGGAGGTCCACGTTCAGGCTCGCACGGGATCTTCGCGCGTTGAGGCGGTTTGTCCACGTTCGGCCACCGTCGCGCCCGCGTTGCGCAGCATTTTGTCCGCTGGTCGCCGCCGTCCCGGCGTTAGTCTTAGAGTGCCAGGAGCCGGAGCGCGTGTTCGGGGGCGCGGGCGGCGTAGCCCGTACCATGGAGTCGCCCTTCAGCCCGGAGCTCCCTCTGCGGCCGGATGAGGATTGGGGTGAGTGGGGTGCGAGGAAGGGCCGGGAGGCTGGGTTTCTCCCTCGCCGCCCGCGGCGGTGACAGGTGGGGACTGTCTGCCGGAGCGAGGCCGCGCGTGGTTCCCATCCGTGGTTCTGGGGGTTCTGACGGGCGGGGCTGGCGGGTCCCTGCCCGGCTCCTGATGGGAATGCCTGTCGGTGTCACTGGCCCCTGAGCGCGTCCCCGGCGGGGGTTTATGGGGGAGGGCTTTTGTGGGGCGAGGACGCCGTCGTTCGCGGGCAGCGTAGGGCCGGAGGGCTGTGGCTGAGCGTGGGATGGGTGACTGCCGCGGAGTGTGCGCGCGTGTCTGTACTTGTGCGTATGTGTGCCCGCGCGTACCTATGTGCCACACGTGTTCTCGCGCGCATGTCCGTACCTGTGTATGTGTACCTGTGCTACCCTCTGTGCTACCTGTGTATGTGCTTGCGCGTGGCTGCATGTTCGAGTGCCTGTTCGCAGTTACCTGTGTACGTGTGCGCTCGTGTGTTTGCACATCTAAGCACGTGTCTGTGTCCTTGTGCTGTGCGTGTGCACGCATGCGTGTGCTTGTTTGTGCCTCACATCTGTGCACGTGTTTGTGCGCATGCCTGTACACGAGTGTGCCAGTGTGTTTGTGTGCGCGCGAGAATGAGTGTGCAGCAGATGCTCGTCTGGCAGCGTCCACTGCGGCTCCGGGCTGAGGTTGTTTGTCTTAGCAGAGGCCTGCGTGCCTGGCCTTGGGCCCCTCACCAGGGTGGACCCACAGGCCGTGTAGCCTTCACTGCTACCCAGATAAAGCTCAGGGCTTCCTGGTTACAGGTACTTGGTTCCCAGAGTTTGTCAGGTTTTGTGGCGGGGAGGGGTGAAGGGGTGTTTGGTCATCGAGGAGGGACCAGATCCAGCTCCAGATCGAGAAGCCTAGTGCTGGCAATGCTGTCGGGCTTCCTTAGGAGTCTGGGATTGTGTAGGTCCTGACGGGCTACTGAGCCTGCACCGTCGTCCCCCAGCCCCCACCCTCTTGAAGTTTGGGGATAACTCAGATGGGCCTTCATCTTTCCACTTGGACCACCGCTCCCAGTAGCAAGAATGTGAGCTCAGTTCCATTTATTGAGCTGAAGTCTTCACTTGATTTTCCAAAGGCAGAGCTTCTTTTAAATTATGTGCCATTCAGATTTGTTTCAGTCCTTCAATAGATTTTCTAGGAGTTGCTGGAAGAACTTGACTGTCTATTCCAAGAGTATTTTCTCAGGCCAGACACAGCAGAAATAGGAACAGGTGCCATCTAGCAGGCGTGTGAGGCACCCTGTTGAACTCTCACACTCAGTATCATCTTTCATCCTCCCAACAGTCCAGTGAGGGTCTGTTATTTCATAGGTGAGTGAACTGAGGCTGAGAGGGAAGGAATGCTTGGTTGCAGAGCCAGTGAGTGGCAGAAGCAGGACCAGAAGCAGGCTTGCCTGCTTCCAGTGCTGCGGTCTCTGTGCTGGACCGCTTCCGGAAGCTATTTCTGCAGGTCAGATTCTCACCCAGATCCCCCAGTCACATTGGGTCGTCAGGGCTGTTTTCTTACCTAGTAAACTGCTGACTATTCAGGGCACATCCAAAGTCACACATGGGGCTTCCCGAGAGCAGCTCGCCCTGTTTGTCTTCTGATCCCCAGGCTGCACCTTCCTGACTAACCCGAACCCTGACTCCTGGTCTTAACGTTCTTTAACGGAGCATTGAGGGCAGTTACCTTGGTCGGCAACTGCCCTCCCTGGACAGACCCATTTCCCATGTTTTCCAGGCTTTCTCTTCAAACCATTGACAACCTTCTCTTAGTGGAATGTTGTAATTCTGATTCCCTGGGTGCTGAGTAAGTCGGAGAGGCTTTGCAAGCGCTAGAGTGGAACACTTCTGTCTGCTAGTGTTCCTCAGTGGACTGTGGATCGTTTTTCTGGAAGTACTTCATTGATTTGTTTTGTTTGTTAGAAGCTGAGCAGTTAAATTTAGAGTCAGCTTATGTAATTAGTACTGCTTGTGACCCTAACAACTGGGCGATTTAACTGAACTGATTAGCCCAGGAAAGCTCGTGATGGGGGCCCCCCTCCCTTTAACTTGGGTGATGAAATGCAGAGCAGGATTTTGTAAACAGTTTCTGCGAAGGTCCAGATAGTAAATATTTTCAGTCACATGTTTCTGTTGCAATTCCTGGGCTCCTCCGTTATTACAACTTCATTGTGGACACTTGAAGTTGAATTTCACAGGTATTTTAAACAATATTTTATTTATTTATTTTTAGAGAGAGGGGAAAGGAAGGAGAAAGAGAAGGAGAGAAACATTAATGTGTGGCTGTTTCTCATGTGTCCCCTACTGGGGACCCCACCTGCAACCCAGGCATGTGCCCTGACTGGGAATCGAACCAGTGACTCTGCTTCACAGGCCCGTGCTCAATCCACTGAGCTACACCAGCCAGGGCACAATTCACAGGTATTTTTAATGATTAATGGACCTTATTTTTAGTGCAGTTTTAGATTTACAGAGTAACTGAGCAGACAGCACACGGAGTCCCATATTCACCCCCCGACACACACCCTTTTCCCCCACGGTGACATTGTGCAGTAGTGCATTCGTTACAACCGACAGGCCGGTCCTGACACACCCTCATTAACTAGAGTCCATGGTGTCCGTGAAGGCACACTCTGAGCAGATGTCTGCGGGTGTTGACAAGTGCATGGTGACATGGGCCTGCTGTTACAGTGTCACAGAGAGCAGCCTCCCCGAGCTAGCAGGCCTGTGCTCCTCCCTCCTTCCCTCCCTCCCTCCCAGGCAACCACTGATGGTTCGATACCTCCCTAGTGTTCGTGGTTTCTGGAAGGTCTTAGAGTTGGGAGGGGGAGAGAGGAGGGGAGAGAAGAAGAGGGATGGAGAGGGGGAGGGGGAGGGAAAGAAAGGGGGAGATCTTTGTGGTCCTCGAAGGCCACAACCCTCTGGGATGAGAGTCCCAGTCTTACGACCTCATTTGACTCAGGTGCCTCCTGCAGACCACCCTGCCTCTGGGTGCTGTCCCACTGCGGGTCAGGACGTCAGCATGTGAATTATGGTGGGACGTGATGCACAGTTTGTTTACCCAGTTCCTGTTGAAGGGCATCTCGGTTGCTGTCACATATTGACAGTTACATGTGACGCTGTTGTAAATATTTGCGTGCAGGGATGTAAGTGTTCAGACCATCAGGGTAAAGACCAGGGAGCGTCCGTATGTTTAGCTTTGTAAGGAACTTGCCAGCTGTCTTCAGAGCGGCTGCACCGGTCTGCATGCTCACCGGCAGTGAATGAGCGTCCCCATCCCGCCAGCACTGGGTGTGGTCAGTGTTTGGGGTTTCAGCCGGTCCGGTCAGTGTCATGGTCCCTCACGGCAGTTTTAATCTGTGTGAGGGTGGAGGGCTGATGTCACAGGCTTGTGGGTTGTCCGAGTGCTTCCCTCTCCCCCTTTCTCCTCTGCCTCCTGCCCCCTTTCATTTGTGCAGACACCACCGCTTTTTCCCTGCCACATGGGAGATAGACGCACCAAGATCAGGAGCTCCCGTCTGCAGGGTTGAACTGCATCTGTGGAAGTTGTTTGCAACTGCCCAGACCTGGGCAGTTCTCGCACTGACCAGACCTGAGTCTGCTGTGTTCCTGAAGGCCCTGGTGCACAGTGGCCACTTTCATTCTCGGACCCTTATCAGGGCCTCTGAAAGTGGGATGAGCGCCTTCTTTGTTCTTCCCCGCCACCTTGGGACCCTCCTTTCATCCTGCCTGAAGCATGCAGGTGTCAATCTCATGCTGTTCCAGGATGCTGTCCTCCACCTCCCCATGCCTCCCAGTCCTCTGCAGATTGCTGGTCCCCCGTCCTCACTGCGTGAAAGATTTTAGCTCCTCGTTCACGGTCACTTTCTCCTGCACTCCTGTCACACTTTCTGGGTGACTTCGGTGTTCTCCAGGACCCTTCACACACCCTTAGCACTGAACCTCCTGTACCTGCTCTGCACCGTGAACTTGCCCTCCGCCCTGCTTTTACCAAGGACGTCAGCTCAGCCCCAACATCTCTCTCTGGCTGCCTGCTTCTCTCACCAGCCCTGCCCCCATCTAGTGTTCCACTTCCAAAGCACTTGTCCTGCTGCCGCAATCCTGCCGTTTTTTCAGCCCCTCCCCCCGTGTCTCCATCTCCTTACCCAGTTTGACTTCCGTGGACAGTCACGGGAGCCATCCCCTCGTGCTTTAGTCTTTGTCTCTCTCCTGTTCTGCCGTTCTTTCTTGAATAAACCATGACCTTAGTTAAATCCAGTCTGCCTACTCCATGTCTGCCTTGGAGAGCAGAGTGTGGCTGGAAAAAACGGTGAGCCATGCCAACCCGAAACAGACTCTATCGTGCTACCTGCAGAGCGTCTGTCCCTGGTCCCCGCCCTCCCACGGAATGTCGGTGCCCCGCCCCCTCCCTTTGAAGCAGAAGAGCACCCTGCAGTGTGCCCGCATCCGCAGGTCTCCTGCTGCTCGGCTTCAGAGGCAGCGGACACTGGCACTGTGTGGGCCTGGGCCCCCGCCTGTACTCAGGGATGTTGCTGAGCGCTTTGGCCTCTGTCTCCACTCCCAGACGCCTGTCTGCTCACACACAGGGTTGCTTCGCCCGTCGAGAGTGAGAAACGGTGGGACCCCAGCCCTCTTCAGATGTTACTTCCCCTCTCCCTGCCATTGCACTTCCTCATTTTACAGCAGAGTTCTGTGCAAGAATGTCTGTCTGCACCGACTCTCATTTCTCCCGTCTCTTCTCTTGGACTCGCTGCGGCGAGGCTCTGCGCCCCACCCAGAGCTCTTGCTGATGTCACCAGGGACTCCAGTGGCGGTTTCCCTTCCTCGGAGAAGCTGCTGAAAGCTGGTAAATGGTGAGGTGAGGTCAGGTGGGAGAGCTTGCTGAGCGAGCCGACATCACTCGCTCCACAGGCGGCTGCTGCTGCAGGAAGTCTCAGTGCCAGCAGCGTGGGCCGGGTGTGGCTTTGAGGGATGCTCCCGTGACTTCCGGGATCCTCCACATGTACCTGCAGGTGTTTCTGGACCCACTGTCGGTTTTTCAAGTGTTCACAAACCACGGGAGAGATAAGAGGCCTGAGCAGCGATCACTTGCATTTCCTTTATCTAGATTCACCAGCTGCCACCGTCCTGCCACACTCGCTCTTCCTGTCACCCACAGCTCCTCCTCTCACCGCCTCACAGTGGGTTGCAGACAGCACGGGACTGCAGACCGCACCCCAGGGCTGGCCTCCGAACGGGGGAGCAGACGTGCGAGGTTCAGGAGGCGTGGACTCTTGCCTGTCCTGCCGCTCAGAGCCCTGTCTCACCATCTGCATGATGACGCATTTCTCTCCCTGGTGAAAACCCCGATTCTCGCTGACACCTGAGGGCTGTGGAGCTCGCTTGAGCCGAGCTCCTGCGGACAGACTGAAGGATGGGCAAGGGCAGAGCAGTGGCCCATTCGGGGCCACTGGACAAGTCGAGGCGGCTCGCAGCAGTGGAGGCGATAAGCTGGCAGATTATGGATCTTCACACACACACACACACACACACACACACACACACATGCTCTTTAATTTAAATTTTAAGGTTTTGAAATAGTTTCAAATCTACAGAAAAGTTGTCAGAACAGTACAAAGAGCTGATGCATGCCCTTCGCACAGACTCCCTAACTTAAATTTTGCCGCATCTGCCCCGTCTCTCTCTCGGGATGTGCTGACCAGTCACTTCTAAATACTGCAGATTACACTCCGTCTCCCCAGAGGAGGGTGCCCCATGCTCCTGCCACAGCCCCTCCCAGCCAGGACGCGAGCACCGCCCTGGCGCACACCGTGCCCTTTCCTCCCGGGCCGGGAGCCGCTCCCTGTAAACACGCGTTGTGCTCGCTCGTTCAGGACAGCTCTGCAGTCATGTCTCCCGTGGCCTGACTGTCCTGAAAAGTGGGGCACCCTGGACCTGTCCCCCGGCTCCTTGTGATCGGAGGCAGGCGTGCACCATGGTGGAGCGCTAGGACGAGACGCTTTCCTCATCTCAGTGAGTGGCGGAGTACCTGGGGCACACGCCCTTGACCTGTCCCGAGGTGACGGTCACCTTGACTGGTGGTCACGTCGGTGTCTTCCCGGTTCCCCACTGTAAAGTCACGATTCGGGAGAGAGCATCCGCCGTGATGTCAGTGTCCTGCTGCCTGCGAGACCCGCGCCCAGCAGCCCTGGGCTCCGCTGGTACCTGCCGCCGCCTGAGCCACCCCTGCGGTACCACGTAGGGTCATCGCTGTCGCCCTGTCTCCGTTTGTGACCGACTCGGTACCACAGGGAGAGGCCGCCCGTGCGCTTTTCACGTGGCCCTGCTCTGTTGGAGTCTGGGCTGTGTGACCTGGCCCTCCAGCATGTCCGTGCTGAGGTTTCCCCGGATGTGACCATTCCTACCAGCTCTCCTGTTCCTTTGACACGTTCCCATCATTCCCTGAGGATTTCCTTACTTTCTGTCACCAGACGTCCAGTCTCATCCTGTACTTTCTCCGCTTCGGCCCTGGAGCGAGCCCCCCTCCAAGGAGCTGCTCCAAGGAGCTGCTCCGTGGACTCCCCTTGGGGATGGTCAGGTGGGAGAGCTTGGGCTCAGCCCAAGTGCTCAGTCCCAGGTCGGAGCGCGGCGCCGTCGCTGCTGGGAGGCCCTGTCCGCGGAGGGCGGTTTTCCCCGAGGGCTGAGAGGGGTGTTCAGCTTCACCACACGCGCACACCCGCTCACTCAGGGATTGTTTGGTGGCTGTCGGGGAAATGTGTTCCCCGTCGCTCCTGTGCACGTGCAGTGAGGAGACTGCGGTGCCCGAACTGCAGGGGGCGCAACTGGGTTCAGGAAGCTCCTGGCAGAAGCTCCTGACGTTCCCAAAGTGTTAGGAAAACGCGTTCACCCGTGGAGCAGCGTCTTGACTTTTCCCTGGGAAGAGTTTACTGAAGATTGTGTTCTGTGCCCATACGTTTCTTGGTTTATAATGAAATCTTATGGGGAGATCGGGACATCATTAGATTTGGCGAACTACCCTGAATGGTTTAGATGTATCATAGAAAATGCGTGGTCCCGTGGCCTCTGGCGCGGGTGGCAGACGCGTGGCGCGTGCGCTGCCCTAGTCCTCTGCTGTCCTCGCCGCTGACCAGCCCGTGGCTCTTGGTGCCGAGCCCAGAGGCATCTCAGACTGGCGGGAGTGCCGCCGTTCCAGAGGGCTGCTGCCGGTTAGTCCAGCGCCACGTCACACGAAGCCTGTTCCTAGACCCCCGGTGTAAAGACTGAGTTCACAAGATAAAAATCACACGGACAGCGGCACATAAATTAGAACCCAGCTTTGTATTAGTTGTCATTCACACTGCTGCAGTTTATCAATAACAGTAATTGATGATAGCATTCTCAATAATAGGAATGGCAACTGAGGAACCCCAAGAAGCTGGCCTTGGGATGCGGTGCTTATTCTCGTGTCCGAACACTGAATTGACAGTTCACCTCTCTTCTTTCCTTCCCCCCAAGACTCTGCGCTGTTTGCTGAGCTCGGCCGCCTCACAGACACGGACTTGGACGCAGACCTGGACGCAGCTGCCGGGATTTATGTGAGTGCTCACGGAGGAGAGATGCTGCCTTGTGCAGTGGATCGTTTTTGCCCTGCTCTGTGCAAGGAGGCTTCAGGATCACAGGGTTAGGCTAGTCATCGGGGTTAAAAGGCCGTGAGGGGTCCTGGTGTGAGAAGACTTGTCGTCCGCCTCCACCTTGGGCCCAGCTGCTTGCCCGCCTCCTTCCTGGTTTTCAGAGGCGACTTTGCTATGTGACAGAAGTGGTGACGTGATGGGGCTCATGTGAGTCAGACTCATCGTGGAGAACTCCCTGCATTTTTAAAAGTTAGGTATTCAGAGTGGGGAATGCTCTGGAACTTAGGTATGTCCTTCCCTCTGGCCTTTGTGTGGTTAGAAGCCTGTGTGAATGCTTTTGCCGTGCTTCGAGTCCTCGGGGCGCCGCGGTTTCCTGTTTTCTCTTTCCTGGATCCGCACCTGCGTGTGCGGTGCTCTGGCCGGAGGGCTCTTCCGTGTCTTGCTCTTGGACCAGGCGCTGTCCCGCGAGGGATCCTTCCCGTGGACCGGGGTTTTGTGCGCACACCAGTCGGGTGGAATGTTTATCACCTGTGATTTAAGCCCTTACTAACCTGGGCACAAAAACGTGCGTCGGTTGCTGAGTGGGTTTCTGAGACACTTCTCAAAGGGTAGTTGAGCAGTGGTTTTTACCACGCGTGGACACAGAACAGTGAAAACACACGGCACACTTTATAACCGGTGCACGGGGTCCGTGGTTCTTACTGCTTTTCTGAGAGGCTTAGAGTGTGGTCAGCTGATTAAACTGACTTTTACTACTGGCCGGTTGCCTAAGCAGCTGACGCTCTTTTACAGCCTCTGCGTCCTGAAGCATCAGTGGACGGTGCAGTAAACTGGAAGGATCCAGGGAGATGTGGTCCCGGTCTCACAGTTCACACTCGTGCCTCACACGGGTCACTCAGCCTTTCAGGTCCTTAGCTGGTCCGGTCTGAGATGGAGGGGCAGGAGCGGATGCCCCTGCCGGCCGTGCCCGCCTCTTCCCCGCGGCAGCAGGTGTCTTGGGGGCCGTGGAAGAAGGCTTGGGGGGGCCAGAGCGTTAGTCCTCTGTGTGCACCCTCCAACCAGAAGGGATCCTCAGGCTGGGAAAGGCGTTTGTCTCTCTGGCTGAGACCGAGGGCAGCGCCCTGAGCAGTGCTGGACGGCGTGGCTGCCGGGTGAGCCCAGGACCAGTGATGGGGAGACGGGGTGGGGGGTCTGGTTGCTGAAAGGACCGGGCCACCTGGTTTCCTGACCTGTGGGTTCAGATGAGAAAAAAAACAAAGGGGTTGATTTAAAAGTGGTTCTTCTGTCATCTGAGTAGCTTTATCTTTTTTTAATGTGCTCTTACGCACATTTTCTTTGTATAACTTGACTGTATCTACTAGTTAAAGGCAGTATGATGAAACAGTTTGCCTTCTGTCCTGTTACCTTCTCAATAAAAGTAAACCACATGGCAGACATTTTGAAATGATAACGTTGTTCTACAAATTATTACCAGGTGGTTGGTAGTAATCGCTGCATTAATCCCTACTTTTTCCGGAGCCTTACCCTCTCTGCTGTGGTCAGTCACGTTAATGTCGGCGGCCTTTTGACCTCACTGCGCTGTTTCTCCACTGCGTTCGCTCTGTTGCTGCCTCGCGGCCGCAGACGCTGTTACGAGTAGTGTTCTCTCCCCCGATCTGCCGCTCACGCCAGGGCTCGGACGTCGAGTGGCAGTTCTCCAGGTGTTTACGGCTGTGGCAGGAGGCCCGCCAGACGGCCCAGCGTGTGTTCTGTGCGGGAGAAAGGGTTGTCTCAGTGAGAAGAAACCAAGAGTCCCTCTACGAGGTTTGCTGACCCTGATTGAAAAACTTAGGTTTTATCTTCCCGGATGAAAAAAACATTAGAAATTACACTTCAGAAGTTTGGAAGTGCAGGACAGTGCAGAGGAGAAGCAGGCGGCCCAGCAGCCTCCTGTGGCTGTGCCCTCCTCACACAGCCGCCTCCTGTGGCTGCAAGGTCCCGACGAGGCTCCTGTGATCCTTGCCGGGCTCTTGCCCATGTCTGTGTCCTCGCCACTGACCGGGACACTGCTGCCAGTGGGCGTCAGCTCTGGGTTGCTGTCCTCCGTGGCGGTGGGAAAGCTTGTTTTTGTTTGCTGGGTCTCCCCGGTGGCGGCCCTCTCGTCTCTGTGACCCTCGTGCTGCCTGTCCCCCGAAGAGAGTCAGGCCTGTGGGCTCTGCCCGGTTGTTACCACGGCGCCAGGTAAATGCGTTGGCTTCTCTCCGGGCTCCCTGAGGTGAGGGCTCCAGGTGAGCCAGCAACTCAGAAAATTGCCTGTGCTCAGTTGGGTGACAGCGATCGCATTGTCTGTGGCAAATGGCATCTGATAGTCTGATGTCTAGGTGCATATATTTTATTCTTCTGATATTCTTTTGCTGATTTGACACCTACAGGCAAGCAATTTTGATAGCCTTGATTTCGATTTGGATTTGATGCCGTGGGAGACAGGCATGTGGGACATCAGCAAGCAGCTCTGCACAGGTAAGGGTCTGTCGTCATCGGGAAACTCCAGGAGGGTCCATCTTGTTTTGTAGTTCGGTCATAGCCACTGGGGGTGGGGCTGTGGGGCTGCCCTGACGGGTGGAAACTCCAGGGACTGTATAGCCTGCTTCCGGCATGGTGGTGCACACAGAAAGTTCTTGTCTGGTGAGATGAGACTTTCATACCTGTTTCAGTCACATATGTGAGTAAAGCATTCGTGTCAGACATACTGTTTTCACTTACCTGTAACATCTTTGTAAGAGAGCAACCCGAGAACAGACAGACTTAGGGAATCAGGGAAAGGGCTCGGGTTGCCCGAACCTTGGACCTCGGTGCAGGGCCAGGGCCTGTGGGTGCTGCGCAGACAGAAGCCGGCACCTGCGTGAGCCGTCATCGCTTCCTGGGAAGTCGATGCAGGATGAGAAACCTCCTCCCCTCCTCCCGCCAGTTGGCGTCCTTCCGGCGTCCCTGCGGACAGGTCCTAGCAGTGGCCAGCGGGGCCTGCGGGTGATTGGCATCTCAGCCCGCGGGCAGCGGGCTCAGCCGAGGCAGAGGGCGGGTGAATGGTCCCCACCACCACCTCCTCCTCCCTCCATTTTGTGTTTGTGTGTCTTGCTCACTGTCTGTCTTCCCTCGGGCACTTGGGCTGCACCAGGCCAACGTTCTGGTCACTAGTGTTGTGTAGTAAGCTTAGTGGCTTGGAACACCCTCCATTTTATGCTCCCAGAGACTGTGGGTGGGGAATAGGACCGGGCGCACCAGGAGTGGGGTCTCTCTGCCCGGCGCGTGCAGATCCAACTGGGAAGACTTGCAGGCTGGGGTAGCCTCGGGGCCGGAGTTCTCCCAAAGTTCCCTGCCTCGCCTGTCGGCCCCTGGCCTGGATGACGTGGACACAGGACTGCTCACCAGACGCCTGCCCGGGGCCTTTCCCGTGGCTCGGCTTCCTCCCAGCGTCGTGTCTGGCGGCAGTCCGACGTTGGAGGCTCGCGTGGGGTGTGCGGGGCAGAGGAGAGTTCCCACAGCACTCCTGGGCGGGGCCCCGCGCCCGAGATTCTGATGCGGGCGGGGTGTCGGGTCCCCGGCTAGATCCTCAGGGATCACCAGGGCTTTGGCTGCTGAGCTGGGGAGTCACAGACTTGCTCCCCCTTATCAGTTCCACACCCTGGAGGCTGCCTGGGGGACTGCTGCTCAGTAAATTATTATAAATATACCAACAGCTCTAAAGACACGATATTTTTCTATTTTAACTATATTGCCAAAAACACTTTCCAGGATAATTTTTTCCTGTTACATTTTCCAAACTTTGGCAGTCTATCATTTTTGCACGTGGCACGATATTCAGAGGCCACGAGTCTGTAGAGCAGGACAGCGCCTCCCCCTGCCTTGCCCCTCGGCCAGCGCGCCGTGCTCCCAGTGACGGCCGTTAGGTTTCTCCCCTGCTTTCTGCAGAATTAGGGCAGAAGCGAGCAGCCCGCCCCTGTGCGGCAGGTGGCTGCGGCCGCCCGCTCTAGGCAGTGACAGGCGCCCCGCTGCCCCACAGCTGGACTTGAAGAACATGCGCCCCCGCCCGTCCTGCGGCGCTGAGTCGGTGCTGCCCCGGCGCAAAACTGTGCTCTGTGTTTCAGGCTTACCTGTCAAGGCGGAGCCCCAGCCCCTCTCGCCGGCCTCCTGCAGCTGCTCGCTGTCATCCCCGCAGTCCATGGACTCGGCCTCACCCACCCAGCACGTCCCTGTGAGTAGCAGCCTCTGGGCGGGCCGGGGCGGCTGTGCGGGGAGGCTGTGTGGGGAGACAAGACCATTGGGGTCCCTTCCGCAGGACTCGGAGTCTCCCCTTCCGTCGCTGTCCTCGTTCCCTACCTCCCTCGAGCCTCCTCGGAGGAGAGGACGAGGCCACGGGGAGAGGGTTGGGTCCTGAGCTTCAGCTGCGAACGTGGGGCGGTCTAGATCGGTCACCCGCATCCAGAAGGGCCGGGGTGTCGCCAAGCGCCGTGGGAGGAGGGCGGCTGGCACGCAGGGCGTCTCGTCACTCCGGAAACCCCAGGCCTCCTGGGCCCCGAGACTCCGGGAGTCGCAGCCCTGCCTCTGGGGTTGGTGGCGCAGTCACAGCTCAGCCCCACAGCTTCCTCCGCAGAGAAGCGTTTGGTTGGATTTGGTGGGGTCATCGGTCCTCCCTCGGAACCCAGTGCCTCCCCGCCGCCGCCAGGGGGCGGAGTCGTGCTTCCCACCCTCGCTCCCCCATCCCGCTGCCCTTGCAGTCGAAGCGCCGCCCCTTCTGCCGCGGGGCTCCACTCCGGGTGCCTCGCCTTCCGGGGTCTTCTCGTCGGGAGGGCGCCTGCGCCGTTCTTCCGGCGTCTGTCCGCCTCTCCGCAGTGTGGCCGCGGCCTTTCTGTTTCCGTTTTTAAACGTGTTTTATTACGCGGAAGGGTTGTTTGCCCAGCTACGCGCAGTAAGGTGCAGGCAGTGTTTTCTCCAGTTTGTCTTTAGGCTTTATTTCTGCTGCTTGTTTTCTTCAGGCATTTTTTTTAAGTAGCCAAATTATTGGTCTTTTATTGCTTTTTTTTCACTCAAAAGGAGAGTTTTTCACCACTCAGAGGTTATGGTATTTTTATCCTTGTTTTCTTCTATTAATTTTTTAAAATTCAGAACAATCTCACTTACAGAAATGTTACAAGCACATTATAAAGAACTTTTTCCCCCGGGGCCATTTGGGAGTAAGATGCCAGCTGGTGCCCTGCCACCCCCAGTACCTCAGTGTCTGTTTCCAGCAAGCAAGGACACGTCTTAGGTGGCCACATTGTCTGGGTCAAAGTCGGGAAGTATGCGTGGGCCCATGACTCATCTAACCCTCGGCTCCCTCCTCGTGCCCGTGGACCACAGATGTCTTTGGCATGTGCGTGTCCCTTGCCCTCTTCACGTGAAGCTGCTCGTCCTTCCTGACTCTTGAGACCTCCTCACTTGGTTTGAGCAGAGACTGGCCAGTGTGCAGAGGGCCCCTCCTCGGGCTTGCCCGGTCCGTCAGGGCTGGAGTCGGGCGTGCTGGGCATGCTCAGCACGAGAGGAGCGCCTGCCTCTGTCCTTGGCTTCGGATGAGGTGGCGCTTGCGCTGGGCTGTGCTGTGGCTGAAGGTGCCACTGTGCCCCTGGATGGCAGCTGTCTGCCAGCCTCTCCCTCTGTGAAGTCGCTCCCACTCCCTTGCACTCCCTTTGCCATAAGTACAAAAATAAAGCAGGTGCTTTAAAACTGTGTAAAAATACCCTCTTTCTCATCAGGTTTTCTGTGCTTATACTCGTACAGACTTACTGTTTCCTACTTTGTAACAGATGATAATCCATCACTCTCATTACTCTGTATCCCTTAACTTTGCTTACTCGCTGCTTTTTATTACAAAGTATCTTCACTATGGCTGATCCAGTCTGCTCTTCTCCCCGGGTGGCTTCCAGACATGGCCTCTGGCTGAGTGAGTGCTTGCTCTCCCAGAGCTCTTCAGTGACCCACAAACTGAAGGTGCCTGTTCTGCCATAACACAGAACGTGGCTTTCTCCCAGAGCAGAAACGCCAGGGTGTGCTAAGGTAGCTTTGTTCGTTCTGTCAGAACGAGACAGGACCCCTGCATAGTTAAGGTCTTTTGGGACTGCGAGTACTGTCCTTCCACACCTCTGTACTGTGATCACGCTCACTCATCAGAGAGGAGAGAGCAGCCCGCTGCTTTCCGTGTGCACCTGTCTCTCAGACAGCGGGCGAAGGGCCCGAGCTAACAGGCAGGAACGGCTGGAGCAGCGCGGTCACTCGTTCAGAGGGTCTCGTAGGGCTGAGCAAGCGTTTGTGGGGAGAGGGTTCTAACTGTGGCCTCCTAACGCGCTGGTTGTTTGTAGGGCCAGGGACCAAAGATACAGAGTTTGTTGGGAGGAAGTGTAGAAGCAGGTCTGTGATTGATGGACAGACCTGGCACTTAAGAGTTGTTTTTCTTTCGTATGGATGAGTAGTGTTGATTCACCTGCAGTATCTTGGTACTTGACTCATAAAGTTTCTGATACGTCACACTTTTGCTGCGGACCTTTCTCAGAGTGTTTCGCTGTTTCTCTCTGGGTCTGGCCTCTCTCTGAACAGCTTTCTGGTTGAGGATGGTGCTCTTCTGCATGAACCTGTGTTTGATTTCACCACAGGAGGAGCTGGATTTGTCTTCTGCTTCCCAGATGTCTCCCCTCTCCCTCTACGGAGAGAGTTCCAGCAGCCCTTGCTCGGCCGAGTCTCTGAAGGAAGACAAGCCTGTCCCCAGTCCCAGGAGCAAAACCGGTACCGTTCCCTCTCCCGACAGTGTCACTTCTGTCCTAGCACAGGCTCACATTCCATTTCTCAGACGCAGATGTTGGGGTTCATGTGGGTCACTTGGCCTGTCTGCCACAGAGTACCAGTGTGGGGGGATGCGGAGGATGTCCCCTTTTTGTCCTCTCTGTTTTTAAAGGTGATAGGGCTGCAGGGGACTCAGGCTCCTACCCCCGCGTGGAGGGTCCTGGCTGTGAGGGCCTTGGGGTGGTGGCCTCTGTCACCTCATGACGCCAGGCCGAGCTATGCTGCTTTCCAGGGCCCGCGCCCTCCCCACGTGCCCTCCCCAAGGCTGCAGTTCAGCCCGTGGAGTAGGACGTCTGTGAAGGCACGGGCCTGGAAAGCAGCCCAGCCCAGCCTCACACTTGCCGACACTATCTTGCAAATTTGAACATTGCGAGGGGGGTAGATTTTAAAAGTTCTCATGGCAAGAAAAATAACTTTGTAACTACGTGTGACAGGATGTTAACTAGACTTACTATGATGGATCGTTTTGTGATGCAGATGTTCAGTCATTACGTCATGCTCCTGAAGCTTATAGAACGTCATGTGTCAGTTACCATCTCAGGGAAAACAAGGAGAGCCCCGGATTGAGGGCTGTTCCTCAGTTCCCCGAGGCCTGCAGCCGCTGTGCTTAGACTTAGCTGAAGGCGGTCACTCAGCTCAAGGCAACCTCAGGATAACTTACTTTGGCGGCACTCAAAGTGTAGAGAAAGGTGTAAATAGAATCTGTTTCCTATGATTGCTTACTTGTCTTCAGATTGATGTGTGGTTTGGTTTTTCTCTAGAAAATGGACTGACTCCAAAGAAAAAACTTCAGACAAATTCAAAACCTTCAATTCAGCACAAGCCTTTGCTGCTTCCAGCTGCACCCAAACCTCAGACAAACCCCTGCGTTCCCGCGAAAGCCATCGTCATTCAGGCCCTGCCCGCACTGATTCCGGTGGCAAAGCAGCAGCCCGCAATCAGCATCCACCCCGCACCCGCCAAAGGTACCACGTGCAGCGTGGGGCCTCGTGTGCTCGACTGGCAGCCGCCGCGGCTGGTGCCACATGACTTGCTCTAGTTTGTGCAGCACTCTCGGCGTCCGTGCCATGTGTCAGGAGCTGTTCTGGGTTCTGGGACGCGGCAGAGGACGGCCACCTGGTCCCTGTCCCAGCAGGGGGGAGCTCTCAGATGGCCGGTGCCAACACGCTCGTTTCCTCCCAGTTTAGTCATGAGAGGCCTGTGGTTGTGTGTCTGCTCTAATGGAGCAGCAGCCCAGGGAAACTTTCTTGGTAACATTTTATCCTGAGAATTTTGTCTGTGAACTTTGCTGTGGAAGAGAGGTCGGTGTTTAAACAATATGGTCTGTTTCAGGTGTCGTAGGTGTGTTTTGGCGATGGAACCAGGCTCGCACTCTCTGAGGCCCGAACGTGGCCTGGAGCGGCTTAGGGACCCCAGTCCTCATCTCCCTCAGACCGTGTGTGTTTTGCGTGCCGTCCACCAGGGGGCTGCGTGGGCTCGATTCTGCGAGGATCAGGTGGAGGCCTGGCACTGTCCGGACCAGGAGGCACTGGCACAGGTGGCGGCTCCGGCAGATGCTTTTCACTGCTCTCGTGCTGGCACGTGTCCCCCGGAGTCCAGGAACCCCCCTGGGTGTCGTGGCGGGGGCCCAGGAAGACGAGGTGTCCCTGGGGTACAGGCTGTTCTTAAATACAGTGTGGTGTTTGCTTTTAGGGCCATCTGGACAGCTCTGGGGTGTTAGCTCGTTTCTCCGGACTGTGGTCACGATAAGGGCAAGGCCGTGCGCACGGGGTCCAGGTCATAGACAGCTCGGTGTTGATCACAGGAGGTCGGGGGGGCTGGATGGACACAGATGTGCCCGTGACGCCTGCCCTCTGGCTGCGGCCTCGCACTGGGCCTTTCTCGCTGGTGGAGCCGGTGTTCTTGGGGTCCTGAGTGGCAGTCAAGTGTTGGTGAGCTTCTCCACGGGAAATGCGAGACCTGGTGTATGTCCACACGCGGGCCTGCAGGGATGGTCTCCAGCCCCGTCGTCAGGGTCTCAGAAGGACCTGTGTCTCCCAAAGGCAGAGAACTTAAACTTGCGAAGGACCCATTGTCATTCCCACAAGCTGTTAAAACAGGCGTAGGGAGTAAAAGCTCAACGCTGACTTGGCTGGCGCACAAAGCAGGGGCTGCGAGGAGGGTTTGCTGTCAGCGGCCTGTCTGCGGCGGGAGTTTGGGAGGGCCGCCTGTGGCAAGGAGACACACCGCTCTTTCCGAGCAGTGCTCCGGGGTCCCGGCGTCAGCAGGGGAGTGTGTCGTCTGCAGAGCAGGGCTCCTCCTGACGGGCAGAGGGAAGGCGCGTCTCCCCCTTACAGGGGAGGGGGAGGGGGAGGGAGGTACAGGGAGGCACGGTACCATCCGTCCACGAAGTGAGCCTGCGCAGTGAGCGTTTCCCACGGGGACGGGAGGTCGTTCTCAGAGGCGGCCTCCTGCCCGTCCTGGCCTGGCCGTTTAGTGCTGTCACTGCGTCGTGGTGTCACCCCTGCTGCAACCCCCCTTTCCAGCCCAGCTGGTCTGGCGTGGTCCCTGAGTGACCGTGTTTTGCTGGGTTTCTTAGCAATACCACTCTGTCTGCCTGGCGCAGCTCCTGCCGTTTGTGCGTCTGTGTCCTGTGTGCCCGTGAGACGGTGCTCGCGGCGCTGGTGGCTGGGACGGAGGCTGGGGCAGCATCCCAGGGCTTCGTACCTGGGTGGAGCAGGAGGGAATGGGGACAGAGAGGACCGGATCCTATTCTGGGCTTTCTGTGTAGAGGATGGTGCTGCTGACAGGAGTGGAGGGCAGAGGTAGATGCTGGCTCAGGGTGCTCTGTGGGCGACAGGCAGGGTCAGGCCTTGAGCCGTGGGGTCTGGCTCTGAGGGCGGGTGTTGACCCAGGTGCTGGACTGCTTGTGGCCTCCCGGAGGGTGGCCGCTGGTCTCAGGAGTTGGGGGTTAGCAAGTGTACGTGAACAGTTGCATGCGGTGCCTGTGAGAAGGAACGAACTGATGGTACACGCGGTGCCCCGTGGAAGCTCTCATGTAGGTGGGCGGTGGTGGCCCTGCTCTGTGCCAGACTCTGGTCCAAGTGCTTCCGCGCGCCAGCTTATCCGACCCTTCCTTCCACCCTGAAGAGCGTGCAGTTTCCGCCTTCGTTTCGCAGGTAAGAAAATCGGGGTGCAGAGAGGTGACCTTCCCGGAGCCCCGCAGCAACACCGGGCGTCAGGAAGTGTTTCAGACCGGGGAGACAGTCGGTAGGAAGAGCCCCACAGCAGGAGTCATCCTGGGTCAGCGGCGTCCGGCGTTGCACTCAGCCGTGCCCCATCAAAGGGACTTGGCGGGGGACGTCCTGGAGGATGCTGAGCGTGTCAGACAGACACACAGTCTGTGGTGTGTCCCTCTCGACTGTGTCCCCCTCAGGAGCCGCAGTGACTGAGTCCGCTGCTGACTGGCTGGGGCCCTGCAGTCCTGTCCTTGCCGTTTGGGGTCTGGGAGCAGGTCTGTGAAGAGTGAGTCACAGGGAGGTTTTCTTTTTCCTCGAAGACGCTGAATAGAAATGTGGTTGTTTTCCCCATTCTGTCTTGATCTCGGCTTGGATACGGGCTGATCCCAGGGCAACCGGGCAGGCCCTGTGGGGGAGGGTGAGATGTCTGCTGCGGGGACAAGGAGGCGGCAGAGGCTGGCGGGACGAGGAGCTGCGCTGGCCCCGGACCTCGAGGGGCTTCCGCTCCTGGCCGCCAGCGCCGCTGTCAGTGGGGAGGTGGTGCGAGGTCGGCAGTGGCGCCCGCGTGGGTGTTACTTCTCTGCATTAGTTTTGAGAAATAGGACCAAGCCTTCCAGTGTCACGGGGCAGTGTCACGGGGCAGTGCTGCAAGCCTCTGCGACTGGGCTGGAGGGAGGCTCCTGCCGTTGGAGCGAGCACGTTCTGTGTTCTTAGCGATGGTCCCAGAACTCAGGGAGCAGTGTCTCCTTTCTGGGGGTCTTTTCATTGCAGCGTTTGCACTCAGAGGGTGTGGCGTGCTGCTTCTGGCGCCCTCGTGGGGGGCACGCCCTTGTGGAGGAGGGGGCCCCTGGCTCCCCTGTGGGTGGGGACACTGGGGGGACACAGCTGCGGCCTTGTCTTTGTGGGTCTCAACTGCTGGTTCAGGTTTTTGTGGTTCCACTTCTGGGTGATGAACTGCAGGTTCATTTAAAAGCATCTCGAAGTTCTTAATGGCTTTTCTTTGCCACATGTTTATCAATCCAAAGAAACTGAAAGGACAGCCACAGCCGCTGGGCAGCGTGGTGTTCGCGACATGAAAACGGCGCAGCGGAGGCTGAGCCGTGTGCGTTTCGCGTCAGGACGAGCGTGTCTTTCGGGGCCAGACTGTGACTTCTTAGTAAGTGTTAGAAGACCTCATGCGTGGTCATGTGCCGTTTATTATGTTTAGTCGCACATTTGGCCTAAGCGTATTTTTATCAGCTTATGAGTTGTTTCCTCATTTTATGTTTTTATTTCACAAAAGAAGTTATTCTAAGGGAAAACGTTCAGTGGTCATTTATGCTCAAGTAAATTGTACACACTACAAATCTGTGAAATTACTCTTACATCTTTCCTACTAATTTAATAGTTTATGTGGGACAAAACACTGTTAAATTCTGTTACTTTTAGCAGAAAGTAACAGGATTTTTGAGGCCATCTGAAACTATACTTTGATTTCATGCAAGTGATTTTTTGAGCTGAGACAGATGTTCGTGCACAGGTGTTCTAAAGCATTATTTTGAGTTTTCATTTTCCTCGATGCTTTGAAGTATGGAGCTGAGGTTTACATGGCTCGTGTTACACTGTCTGAAAGTATAATGCTTTTCCCTTAACGACAGATCATAGACGTGTGTGAGTTTTAGTTGCCAGGCGTGGCAGAGCCTGCGTGTTGCTGGGCAGGCTCCTGCGGCCCCGAGGACCCGGCAGGGCTGCTCACAGGCCCGTGGTGTTTCTCGGACGGGCGTGGTGCGTTAGGCGTCTCCTGGAGGTTTTTGATACCCTCTGCTCCGAGGAGCAGGATTTTAAACTATGGCGAAATGTGAAGATTAAGAGAAGATTTGTAGGCTGTCTTTGGGGCTGGGGGTGTTGTTACTGTCTGCACACTATTTTAAATTACAGGTTTACGTTTCCTGTGCTTGTTAGCTAAGAATTCATCTCAGGTGGCTAACATTTTTGATATTTGTAGCCCTGTGTTCTTCCAAGCCCCGAGTTCAGGAATCTCTGTTTATATGTTTTTGGTGTAGTGTTTCTAAGTTCCACTAATTTGAAATACGTATCCAGCTCTCTGTGTTAGTAGAAAGGTCTGTTGTTTGTAATGTGAAAAATCCTTTTAGCACTAACACGTCTCACAGGTTAGTACCACACTTAAAGAGTGGTCTCTGCACAACTAGCAGACTTGGTGCGTGTGTGCTGAGACCAAACACACGCCAGTGCACTGAGCACTTGCATGGGAGGGGATGACGCAGCTGGGGTCACTGCGACCAGACAGCGCGCGTTGTCACGAGAGCCTGTGCTGCGGCCGAGCCGGTGTGGGTGGCTCCGCGCCCTCCCGTCGCTGCACCTGCAGACCAGGCCTCCGGTCGAATGGCTCCTCCTGCTGCAGAGCGGAGCTCCCTCTGACCCCGTCCTTTCTCTCCGTAGGTCAGACCGTGGTGCTGTCTCAGCCTGCTGTGGTCCAGCTGCAGGCGCCCGGGGTCCTGTCCTCTCCCCAGCCTGTCCTGGCCATCGCCAGGGGAGCCGCGCAGCTCCCGAACCACGTGGTCAGGGTGGTGCCGGCCCCTGTGGCCAGTAGCCCAGTGAATGGAAAACTCGCTGTGGCTAAACCTGTCCTACAGAGTACCGGGAGAAGCGTGGGCTCAGACGTAAGTTTGACACTTGGTGCTTTTTCGTTGCCTGGTGTGAGAGTGAGCGAAGCCCACGTCTGTCTTTGTCGCCGTGTGTTTGTGTGTCGAGTGCTGAGGCTGCACGTCCAGTCTGTGGCGGTGACTGGGGTGGGGTCGGGCTGTGGGAGCCATAGCGCAGGTGGTGTCAGGCCTGCAGAGGTCTGGCGGGGGCGCGCTCGCCCCTCCTTCATCTTCGAGCACCGCGGCACAGCCCCGCCACCCAGGCCTGCACGAGTACGTATTTACGGGACCCTGCGTGCCTCCTGCGAGAACCGTTTCTGACTCCTCACCGCTTCTCTCGGTCGGTGCTCTGACACAGTGTTGCTCTTGGCTGACGGAAGCGTTTCTGGCATAAGGATGGCTTGTTGTTCTGGGGCTTCTACTCTTCATGGTCATGTGGTGCTTTCCCATCTTTGCAAATCTCCAAATTTCCTACCATGTTGTAGGGGTTCTTTATAGTTTATTAGTCAAAGGACGTTTCCTAAGATCTGCCACCCCCCCCAAACCAGTCACTGTGGTTAACCTTTGCTTCCTCGAAGTGGGCGTCCCTGGCTGTTACTGCAGCTGCTCCACCTGTCTGGACTGTGGCAGAGGCGTTTCAGATCCTGAGAGTTTCGTAAGGTGCTTTCTCGGGCTGCTGGCGAGCCACCTGCCAGAACTCAAGGAGCCGCCAGCAGCCCGTCCCACTGCCCCGCTGCTGCAGAGCCGCCAGCACTGACCTGCATCAGAGGTGTGTGTGGAGGTGGGAGTTCTCCAGGGTCCCTGTCCCGCGTCTGGGTGTCTCAGCTGTGCCGCCGAGATGCAGGGCGGAGCCCGGGTGTCGTGTGCTGCAGACGAGGGAGTGCGGAGTTGGGCCGGACGTGTGTCCGTCTGTGCGGTGGCTGGAAGAGCGGGCACAGTGTGCAGCCTGGCGGCTGCCGCCGTACAGGGCTGGATGCTGGGTCGGCTGGGGGGTGGGGGGTGCGGAGAGGAGATGGGAAAAGGCGCCATCACTGAAGTTGGGGTGTCACCTTGCTCTCCTTCGAGTAAGTAAACGGTAACAAAGACAAAAACATTCCACAATTATTTAATTAATGACCAATAACAAAAGAATATTCTTACAGAAGACTGGGGAGGGTAAGAATGATGAAAGAAGATTTTAGGAAATGCTCCATTAAAATTTCCTTTTGATTATGGGTTTGAATGTTCCCCCTTGGATATTCCCAAATAGAACCAGCAGAAGGAAATGGTCAAAGTCATCTTTTTATGATGTGTTAGGACATTTGAAATACTTATTATGGAATATTTTAGGCAAATAAAAGGTAATGACTGATTCGAACTGTAAAAGCCACAGATCAGCTGTATTCGACAGTTATCAAAAATGTTCATGTGATCTTGGTCTGCGTTCACAGAGTTAGGGCAGCGGCGGGGGCGGGGGTCCCGCGGAGCTCGGCGGGCGTGGGGAGGCCGTGCAGAGACCCGTCGCAGGGCAGGGTGCAGGGCTGGGCGCCGGTCAGGTGTGAGGTTCGGCGAACGGAGGGTGAGCGCTGGCAGCTGGGCCGTGGTGTAGGAAGTGCGGGCTGCCAGGTGCAGAGTGGGCGCCCCGCCCGGGCCACCCCCAGGACTCCTGGAGCAGGTGTGGGCGGTTCAGGGAAGGTCCCTGTGAACCCTGAGACTGTGGGCCTGGTCCTCACACTGACCCTCGAGCAGCGGGCCTCCCAGCGTGACTGGTGCTGCCTCTGCACGTGTCGGTGAGGAGTTGGTTGGTCTGCTCACCTGCTGTCCTGTGTGGGTTCCTGGTGTGAAGACCACGTCTGCTCTGATTTGTGCTGTGAGGATGGCTGTGAACTTGGGGAAGGGTTTACTGGTGAGGTCAGTGTGGGGGAATGAGCCGGGACACGGCTGAGGAGCAAGTGCAGAGCCGGCAAGGATCGTCCTTTCATCGGTGTTTACTGGTTGGCATTGTTCTGTCCAGAGTTCAGAGTTGACTGTAGTATAAGGAAGCTCCGTGTGAGTGCGTCCAGTACAAGGGACCTGCGATGATCGGAGGAAGGGTCCTCGGGAACCTGCGTTGAGGTGGGTGTGCTTGTTTTTCCTGGGCCGGCACATGAGGGAGGGGGACAGATTCTTCAGTGTGAGTCTTCCAGTTGAGGTTTTGACTTAATGTTCGTTTCAAGTGAAGAGACTTCAGCCGGCCTGTCAGCCGGCTGAGCCCCGTGGGAGCCCAGAGCGCCTCTGCTCCAGGAGCAGCTGCAGACTGGTGGGCAGCGTGGACCGCCTCGCTGGGGGCCCTGGGCTGGCCTTTCCGGTGTGTGTTGGTCGGATTCGTGTCCATTCCTGATGCAAAATGGCCAAAAGAAAAAATTGTCATGATTTGCTCCTTGTGCTTTTAAACAACAAGTGTGGTGAGAAGTTGGAATTCAGCGGGGAAGAAAAGAATGAGAGAAAGAAAGCGTTCCAGCGATGTGAGGTCTTGTGCTGTGGACGTGGCTCCTGTCCCTCCGTGGCTGCTCCCCGGTGGCCGCCACCGTGCCCGGCCCCCGCACCCAGAGTGCACGTCTGGCGTGCCTTCCGTCGCCTGCAGCTGCCTGATGGCCGCGTGGTTCAAGTGATAAACTCAGTCTTCCTGCCTTTGCTGGTAGATCTGTTCGGTTTAAGACCTAGAAACCTTACCCAAGCTTTCAAGAAATACAGTTTGTATTTGGCTCTGCTCCTGATGGAAAAAGTGAACCTGTTTCCCATCTTGGAGTGGAAGCTCTTGCGCCCAGTCTGAGCGAAGGTTGAGGTGCCTGTGCCGGAGAGCCTGCTCCTGTGGCCCCGTGGGGCACTGAGTGCTGCTGCCCACCCGCGGGGACCCAGGCTTGCTGCCCAACGTCTGTGCCCTCCTGCACCACACATGAGACAGTACAGCCCTGGCTTACAGTCATGAAGCCACATGGTTTTGGTTACTGGGACAGAAGCCCAGGAGAAAAGGTGGTGGAATTATATTGCACACCTTCCACAGTGGGCCAAGGTGGAGCAAGAACTCCTCATGGAGATCAGTAGGTGAGAACAGTGGAGAGAAGGTGGCCAAACGCCCGCAGAGGGCTGTGGGTTCAGGATCACGGCTGCGCTGCCGGGAGGTCTGGGCCTTCTCTCAGCCCATCTTCCAGACCTTTTCCACCTTGCTCCTTTTTCTGACTCTTTGCTCAGTGGCTTTGACCCTTCCCCTCTGCCCGCACGCTCGGGAGTTCCCATGCTGGTCACCAGAGTCATCATGAGAAGTGAGGTGCCTGCCGGTGGGACATGATGTGAAGGGGACTCCTTGGTGCAGCAGATGGGAGCTTTGTTTTCTCGCCCAGGAGACAGTGTTGCACGGGGAGGTTCAAGGCTTCACGGACATTAGTGCTGTGAACACGGGCATCGTGCCGGGTGCTGAGCCTTGGGAATCTGCTGCTTTTCCAGGAGCAGTAGCTGAGGCTCCTCATGGTCCAGAGCAGGCGTCGCCTTATCTCTTGAGGCTTCTCACTGGAAATCTGACTCTGAGAAGTGGCCTGGGTTGAGTGGCCAGGGCCTGTGTTCTTCACTTGCCCAGGAAGACCTGGAGTAACATGACTCGCCAGGGACCCACAAGAGTGTCCTTCAGGGAAAATACGGGTGTAAGATAATTTGCTCACAGCACCAAGCACTGCGAAGAAGTTCCGAGAAAAATGGAGAGTGCCCGAGTTCTGTTTCAGAAACAAAGTACAACCAGAGCTGAGAGGCCCTTCGGTCAGAGTGTGCGCTGCCAGAGATCGGAGATCGTAGTGAGTGCTACTTCTCAGTGAGGAAGTGCTTCGACAGAAGGACTTGACACCACGCTGCCTCTTCAGGCTGCAGAGTGGAGGGATCCACCGCGGCAAATGCAACGGGAAGGGCTTGGAGATCTGGAAAGCATCGGGTTTCAGGAAAACGTTACTTCTGTGCTGACCACTTTTTGGCTTTGTTGTGACTCGGGGACTCTTTGTAAGTAAAAGAAAAACATGTTTTGTTAAAATATTTTCAGTCTCCCTTTAGGCGAAGGCTAGGGGCTTCTAAAGATTTATCTTGAATAAAAATTCTGGCAACTTGTTTCATTTGCAGTTACAGTAACTTTGGGAAGGGAGGCTTATAGGAGATGTCTTCCCTGATACAGCGCATTGGGTTAGATTTATTATTATTATTTAAATATATTTTTTATTTTATTGATTATGCCATTACATTTGTTCTATTTCCCCCCCTCTGTTCCCCTCCACCCTGCACACCCCTCCTTCACCATTCCCCCTCTTTAGTTCATGAACATGTGTCTCAAGTTCTTTAGATTCTGTATTTCCCCTACTATTCTTACCCTCCCCCTATCTATTTTCTATCTACCGTCTATGCTACTTATTTTCTGTACCTTCTCCCCCCCTTCTCCATCTCCCACTCCCCTGTTGCTAACCCTCCACGTGATCTTCATTTCTATGGTTCACTCCTGATCTAGCTGTCCTCTTAATTTGCTTTTTTTTAGGTGTGGTTGTTGATAACTGTGAGTTTGCTGTCCTTTCACTGTTCATCTTTTTAATCTTTTTCTTAGGTAAGTCCCTTTAACATTTCATATAATAAGGGCTTGGTGATGATGAACTCCTTGAATTTGATCTTATCTGAGAAGCACTTTATATGTCCTTCCATTCTAAATGAAAGCTTTGCTGGATAGAGCAATCTTGGTTGGTTTTCATGACTTGGAATGCTTCTTTCCAGCCCCTTCTTGCCTGTAAGGTCTCTTTTGAGAAATCGGCTGACAGTCTGATGGGAACTCCTTTGTAGGTGACTGTTCCCTTATCTCTTGCTGCTTCTAGGATTCTCTCCTTCATTTTAATCTTGGCTAATGTAATGATGATGTGCCTTGGTGTGTTCCTTCTTGGGTCTGACTTCTTTGGGAGTCTCTGAGCTTCCTGGATTACCTGGAAGTCTATTTCCTTTGCCAGATTGGGGAAATTCTCTTTTATTATTTGTTCAAATAAGGTTTCCACTTGTGGCTGTTCCTCTTCCCCTTCTGGTACCCCTATAATTTGGATGTTGGAGGGTTTAAAGATGTCCTGGAGGTTCCTAAGCCTCTCCTCATTTTTTTGAATTCTTGTTTCTTAATACTTTTCTGTTTGGGCATTTTTCCTTCCTTCTGGTCTACTCCCTTTGATTTGAGTCCCAGTTTTCTTTCCATTACTATGGGTTTCCTGTGCATTTCCCTTCATTTCAATTAGTTTAGCCTTCATATGTTCCTCTAATTTGTGACTGAAATCAACCAGTTCTGTGAGCATCCTGATCACCAGTGTTTTGAACTGTGCATCCGAAAGTCTGGCTATTTCTTCACTGCTTAGATTTATTGGCTCTGGGGCTCTGAGTTCTTCTTGAGCCATGTTTTTATATGTTTGTGCCTGTTACCTATGAGGAGAAGCACCTTAGGCGTTTAGGGTAGCGACCTACTCAGGTCGCTAGTTTGTGATGCTGTATGTGGGGGTGGGGTCAGAGAGGGAGCAATGGCGGTCCTCACTGCTCGCCCCCTGCCTGTTTATCTGAGCGCAAATGTGCGAGCCCTGCGCCGTGTGGTCTCAATGTTCGCCTCTTCACTGGTTTATCTGCTCGCAAATGCTCGACCAACCGCAGACAGCCAGCCGCGCCTCTTCCCTGTGTCCGCCCGTAGCTACCCTGCACCTGGGATCTGCGCCCTCGGCTGCCTGTGCACTGCCCGGGTCGGGGATCTTCCCTGCCTGACCCGCTCCACTGCTGGCTTCACCCCTCTCACCGGTTTAGCTGAGCATTTCGTAGTTTTCGGACTCCGTATTGTTGATTTTCTGTGTGGTTTGGTTGCATTTATTGTTGTTAAAACTTTGTTGTTTTTAGGTTTGGTTGTGGGAGGACGCGAAGTGTTTCCACCTATGCCTCCATCTTGGCGGAAGTCCAGGTTAGATTTACATTGTAGCCACTTTGGTCTGTGTTTTTCAGTTTTCACGTTGATAAGGTTAAACAGGAACTGTTTTTTTAAAGACATGCTAATTTATATCTTAATAAGTAAATACTCCTCTCTTTGGTCTTCAGTCACTCTTCCTGCAAGCACTCCCCGCCTACCTACCCTCAGCGATGTGCCCAGGCAACCCCGCGGCACTGTCTGCTGGTGCTGGCGCCGTGCTTCCTTCCCGGGGCAGCTCTTCAGTGCACAAGCACTTACAGCGTTACCTCCTACCCTTCGTCCAGACGTGGCAACCAGCATGCCTCGGTCCTGCCCGCACTTTTCTCCTGGAATGTTCCATAGAGCGCTTTCCAAGTCAGCCCATACAAAGCATCTGGTTCCTTTGATTGCTGGGTGGTTGTCTGTCGTGTGCGGGCCCCACGAGTGTTGAAGATTCTCGCAGTCCTTCCCTTTGTAAACACACCTCCATTGACTCACTTGCTACTTATCTTGTTCCTGCACAAGTACATCCGTAGGCAACTGCTCCTGTTGCAGTCACCCTTCTTCAGTTCTGGTCCTTTGAACAGCGGCCCTCCACAGGGTGGCTCTGGCCAGTTCTTCCTCTCTGTGGGGTGGCAGGTGTTTCCATGGGCCATAGAGGCCCCAACACCTGTTCAAAGTGCGTTCGGTCGTGTGCCACCTGGGAGCCTCCCCAGACGCCAGGGATGAATTAGCTGTGAAGGGAAGGTCACCTTTTCTCCAACACGTGGTGTGCATTCTTCCACTGGGGCCTTCTGCTCTGCGTCCTGTCCCGTGCCCTGTGCACACGGGCACTCGGTCAGTGCCAGTGATGGGCATTCTCACCACAGGAGGGTCACGGGGAGTCACAGGAAGAGGGACGGAGTGGCCTTGTCCAGAGAAGAGTTTGACCTTGGGGAGCCATTTGTCCCAGCTTTTGCTGGCTGTGCACGCACATGTGTGTGCATATGTGTAGGCGTGCAGGCATGTACATGACCGTGTGCGTGCACATGGCACACGAGCATGCCCACATATGTGCAGCTGCACGCGTGTGGGTGCACGCACATGGGTTTGTGTGCATGTGTGTGCATGTGTGCAGCGTTGTTGAAGTGTGGGGTGGCTGTTCCACAGGGAACTTTTGCAGGTGACTGCGTAGGTCAGCATTCTTACAGCATTTCTGATAAAAAGAATAAAAATGGAAAAAGCGCCCTTTCCCGACACCTTGTGTGAGGCTCCTCCCCTGGGCCCTGATGAATGGTCATCGACGTTGGTGCTGAGGTTGCCCGGCCGGCTCCGGGGTGGCTCTGTGTCTAGGAAACACGTGGGGGCCGGGTTGTTATTTTTTAAAAAACCGATATTAAGATGTTTAACTTTATATACTGGCCTCATTAAGAGTAGTTATTGAACACTTCACAGTAGACTGCTTATTTTTTAAAGTAGTTACAGGTAGAAGTTAGCAATTCAGTCACCTTTGTACTTACAGTGATCAAAATATTATTTAGTGCTTCTTATGGACTTAATTTTGCTACCTGTTTCCTCCCCAAATAAATGAGGCTAATGTAACAAGCAGGTTTCATAATTTAGTTTGGAAGACATGACCCAACAGATTTTGCTTAGTGAGTTTTCACTGTGGCGGACATTGTGGGCAGTGAAGGAGTAAGTAGTGTTGGGTGGTTTGGGGGGTGGGGGCTTGGAGGGGGTGAGTGTGGCTGGCACATGACGTGTCTCCAGTGCTGGTGGCCAGGGTGTCAGCCTGGCAGCGGCTGGGTGTGTGTGGCTCCGGGAAATGGTCCTTGCAGGGCCTGAGCCACAGACTGCAGGTCTGTGTGAAGTACAGGTGCTACCTGGCGCTTCTGGGAGTTTCTAGCAGGAGGTCGGAGGAGGCTCCAGCAGCCAGGAGAGCAGAGGCCGTGCCGCGTTAGGCCTCAGAAAGCCTCACTTCGTCCTGTCACTCCCCTTGGAGTAGGAGTTTTAAAAACCTACTTTGAAACAACCAGTAACATGTTTTGAATAATTCTTTAAAAACAACTGTACAAATGGTCTCTTCTTATCTGGCCGGATTCTGGAATCGGGACCTTCTGACCCGTCGTCACTCCCCTAGATTGCTGTGCTCCGGAGGCAGCAGCGGATGATCAAGAACCGGGAGTCGGCCTGCCAGTCCCGCAAGAAGAAGAAGGAGTACATGCTGGGGCTGGAGGCCCGGCTCAGGGCCGCCCTGTCCGAGAACGAGAAGCTGAGGCAGGAGAACGGGTCGCTGAAGCGGCAGCTGGACCAGGTGGTGCTGGAGGTGGGTGCTGGTGGGAAGGGGCTGGGGGCGGTCGCCCTTCTTTCTGAGAAGTCAGCGGGGAGAGGTGCCTTTCAGAAGAAGCTGTGTAGACTAACAGAGTGAGGAGGGGCCCGGGGAGACCTGAATGTCTGCTGGAGCGCAGAGCCCTGGCGGGGGACTTCCTACCATCTCTGATCGCAGCCCCAGGTCGCCTCCTCTCCTGCGTTCCCGAGGCTCAGCAGTCCCGCCCAGGCTTCCCTCTTAGGAAGGAAAACAGTACAGATGGAAGTGTCCATCTGTCCTGGCCCCACCTGAGCGCAGTTCTGGGGTTTGCACTGTGCTGTGCTGCTCCCAGGCTGGTGAACGTCTGTTCTGCCCGTGCGGCAGGGTGCTCTCGGGACCCGAGGAGCTGCCCTGGACCCAGTGGGGCCTCTGCCTCTCCAGGAGGGCGGGCTTCTTCCTGTCCCATCACCCTGCGCCCACCTGCCCATAGGAACAGCCCCGTGTCACTGACCCCAGCGGCTGAGGAGATAGGACAGGCTGCTGGAACGTCTCGGGATGTCAACTTGTTGGGTGTCTAGTGGAGGGAGTGGGAAGGCTCTGCTCTGGGGTCTGAAAGTGGCATTGGCTGGCCTTTGAGTTTTGCTTATTGCTTGAGCACTCACGGCACTGGTAAGGCCAAGCACCCTCCCCTGGAGGTGGCTTTTGGGGGGCTGGCGTGTAGTCTGATTGTGTTTCATGGCTCCTTTGTAGAACCAGAGGCTGAAAGTGCCCAGTCCGAAGCGCAGAGCCATCTGCGTGATGGTGCTGCTGGCCCTCGTGCTCCTGAACTGCGGGCCCTTCAGGTGAGTGTGGAGCGGCTCATCCGGTGCCAGCTCGGAAGGAACGCCCTGGGAGGGCTGTTTCAGCTCCCGTCCTAAGCTAGAGAAGGACGGAGAGGGACCAGGCTGGGGAAAGACTGGCCCCGTCCCCGTGTCTGCCCAGGTCTGGCAGCCAGTTCACATGTTTCCATGAAGGAAGCACAAGTTGTCAGACAGGTCACTGGTGAAGCAGAAAAATGACTAAGATCTGGGCCTTGAACTTGGACTGCCTGAGTTCAAATCCTGGCTCCTCCTCCACTGGGTGACCCTGCCTTTCTTGGGCAGGTCCCTTACCTTCCAGGGGCTGTCACAGGGACAGTGTTCCCTGCCTCTGGGCTTGGTGCCAGAGCATCAGCAACAGGAAGGTGCTGGGCTGGCTCCCTCCTCGGCTGCAAAGTCAGCAGGCAGACAGCGACTCCGTTGCTGATCCTGGGGGTTTGGCGAGGGCGTCAGGAGTCTGCGTGTTCATAACAGCCCAGGGGGTGTGGTTCGGGTGTCTTCCCCTCACAGCACAGGCAGCCCTGCTCTCGGGCTGCAGTCCTAGAGCACTGGAGCTCAGGGACCCCGAGACCAGCTTCCTGGTTCCCTCTCCCTGTGGCCTACGCAGCACAAACACAGTTAGCACCCTGGACCTGGGGTCACAGACAGGTCGGGCCAGGGCCAAGCCTTCGGGGACCTGTGACACCCTGGGAGGACTGGCGTGTGCAGGGGATGCGCAGTCTGGTGTGCCAGCGGGTCACTGCAGCAGGGACAGGGTGTGAGGGTGTGTGTGCATATGCACAGGTTCCCAGGTGAGACCAGGAGGTGCTGGACACTGTGGTTGAAGGGCAGTGATGAGGGAAGTCCCACCAAGGAAGCTGGATCTCGACATGTGGCAGCATTTGCCTGGTGCGCAGTGTGGGAGGACACACCGGGCTCGTGGAAGGCACAGTGATGATGTGGCCTGGCACTTCCAGAGAAGAGTGAGAGATTCGGCGTGTCTCGTGCTCGTGGGAGCGTGCATGGGGGAGACCTGGCTGCGGGTGCAGGTGGGGCCAGGCGGCAAAGGGCCTTACTGTTGCTGCCCCCGGGGCCGGTGGCCCAGTCAGGGTGCATGCAGGGCGGGGCTTCGGGGGTATAGAGGAAGGGTGGGGCTGAGCAGAGAGCACGCTTCTGTCCCCACCACCTGGGGTGCTCGCTCCCCGAGGTCCTCAGTGTGGCCATGATCTGGGTCACCTTCTCTCGTGTCACCTGCTCTGCCTTTCCGCCACAGCACCTTCACCTTCACCTTCTAGAACAGCATGTTGTTGACTCCACGGTTTACTTTGTTTCTGCCCCTGCAGAATTTTTCTCTGCTTTCTGGGAGTCACTCTGTAGATATTTGTGATGTGACTGAATGAGTTGATGTCCCCACTTAGTAGTGAGTTGTTTTCTTGTGTGGTTTCAGCTGGTCGTGCTCCTCTTTTAAAAGGTTACTTGCAGTCTTGACCAAAAAGTCCTCCCATTTGGTCTGAGCTGCTCCAGTGCTTCCTGCATCCCACACGTGTCTGGTGTCTGGCACCGAGCCCGCTCTGCACTCCGCTCACTTGCCTCTGCGTGTGCCTTTGCACCGACCATTCCCGACCTCCCATGTTACTTCTTGTGCCTGTGATTTCAGGAAGCTCAGCGCACGGCTGTTCCTGGGGCTGCCTTGTGCAGGTGCCTCGCCCGGCTGTGCCCTTGGTCACAGATGCTTCCTTCCTGTCCCCCACCCTGAGGCTGGGCTCTGGGCTCCGCTGTGTCCTGTGCGTGGTCCGTCACAGCTGTGAGGTCTCCGACTGCACGTCTCAACCTTTCATTCTGTTCTGTGACAGAGCACACATGGACCCCTCACTCTTTTTCACCTGAATGCCTGTTCCGTGTTCCTCACTCTGCTGTAGGAGGGGCTCACCCCCCAGTCTGCTCAGACACAGGGGACACTTCAGGGTGTCCATGTTTGCCAGGCCCGAGCAGGGAGCCACACTGCAAATGGACACCCACCACACAGGACGAGCAGGGACGAGGCAAGTGTCCCCCAAGATGTGGGCGTGTTCCAGGAGGGAGCCGACCGGGAGCCAGTGGCTTCCCAGGGGCCTTCCCAGAGGCTCTGTCCATCACCTTCAGTGTGCACACGCTGGCAGTGGGCCTGCAGGGTCTGGAGGCCCACACGAGTCCGTGGATGTTTGAAAGACGAGGAAGGACTCACAGCTGTGCAGTGAGTCAGTGGCCTTCACCGCCTTGGAGGCCAGGTGGGCAAGCAGTGGGTGGGTCATCTCTGTGAGCAGGTGGCCTGGTCTGTCATGGGGGGAAGGGAGGCTGGGTCCCCCTTGTCAGTCAAGGCTTGTGTTCAAAACCTGAGATGGACAATATAGGCAGGGGAGTTAAGAAGGGGACGTTTAAATACTTGAATCCTGAGGAACAGCCAGAGGAGATGGGTGGAGACTTTAGGAACCAAAGGCCAAGGAGCACTGAGGCTCTTAGACAGTGTTCACATCTAAAAACCCGTTGAAAGGCTTAGATGGAGGAAAAGCAACAACAAGAGGAGCTGGAAGAATGAAGAAGCATTGAGCAGGTCAAGAAGTTGGAGGGAATGGGAGAGACCAGCCCTGAGACTTGCACAGCTGGGACGGTTCCTTCCAGAGGAGACAGGCACGAGCAGCGAGCTGCTGCAGCCCCGAGAGCAACTGCGACACCGAGAACTGCAGCCTGCCCTGAACCCTGCTGGCTGTGGGCCCATGCCCCGGGGTGCTTCTTGACCACCCCGCCCCGGCGGCCTCTCCACTGCAAGGCTGGGCATTGTCTTGGGGCCAGGAGGCAGCCAGTGGAACAGGGACCCCCGGCTGGACTCGGTCGGTGCCTCTTGGAAGATACTGATTGCACACCTTCCACAGCTATGGCCCCCGTAGGCGAGCCCGATGTGCTGACTCGGTGCAAGGCTGTACAGGCTTTAAGAAAACAGGCTGTGAGTGCTAACTGAGCTCGTCTCAGGTCCAGGAAACTAAGTCTGGCCAGACAGCGAACCGGAGTCCGCGGCTTCCAAAGCGTTTTACATCTAGGAACCTGAACTCTTGGTTCACGTTACCATGTGCAGTTGTCCGTGTTGTTTCAGACACTCAAGGTAGAATCAGACTTTTGTTTTTCATTGGCATGGCGCCAGGTGAGAAAGTACATAACCCATGAGTTTGCCAAACATGGCTGTGCCTTAAGGAACGTGTCCTGAGGCATTTGGGGATGAAATATAAAGGCGTCTTACATCGAAAGCAGAGTTTTGTCAAAGTAATGTGCAGCAAAACTGGCTAGTTTGAAGAGTTTTGGGTTACCAAATCGTTATCACACAGAGAAAGAAAATAAACTAACCAGACATAAAAGGGTTAATTTTTTCTGACCTGTGGATGGGTGGCTGGTAAAGAAGGCATCCAGCTGTTTTTGGCACAGGATATGAGGGCCAGGCCCTGTCTGGGTGGCCTGGAAGAACAGGGACTCCAACGCAGTGACCCCCTCCTGTGCTGCTTGGGAGTGGACTCTAATTTTAATTCTGTTTTATCGTTGAAAAAACTAAAATTTAGTTCAGGTCTCTCTTTAAAAATGATCGCTAAACTGCCTTCTCTATTAAACCAGAAAGTGTTTTTCCTCTGACCCTTGTTCAAGAAAACCCTGAGGACTCTGGTTTGGCAGCCTGGCGGCTGCAGGTGCAACAGAGCTCCCTGCAGGGCAGCCGCCGGGAAGTGCCTGGCAGGAGCCGGTTGTGACTCCTCATTTAATGGACGAACTGAGGAGAGAAGCAGGGCTTGTAGCAGCCCAGGAACAGGCCGGGGTCACGAGCCTGGTGCTGAGCTGGCACTCAGGTGCTCATCCTGCAGTTGTGTGCTGTCCCTTTGGTCTGGAGTCTGGCAGCAAGGGAGGGAGTGATGGCTGGGGTGCTCCCCTCACTTGCCCAAATGGAGCTGAGGCTTCCAAAAAAAAGACATGTGGTTGCTGAAGAGAAAGACACAGGGGCTGTACCACACAGGGAGCGGGTACCTGTGTGCCTGCTTCACATCAGCTTCGAGTGGAGGGGAGATGAGGGGAAGGTCTTCCTTGGAAATCCACCGTCAAGGCTTGTGTAGGCTGAGCTGAACTCATGCCGCTGCTGTGACCCCCCCAAACCAAGCCAGACACGGGGGCCGGGTGGCCCTGTGCCGTTGGTGCCACAGGTTCCTGGCAGGGAGGCCAGTGCACCACGGTCCTGACAGCACCGCCACCGAGAGCCGAGGGCAGGACAGGAGCCTCAGGCTGTTGCCCACAGACGAGGCACGGGCCAGAGTGGGAGGAGAACCCAACAGAGACTCCAGGAGGCCACAGACGCCTGAACCAACAGGGACAACGTGTGAAGTAAATGTATTACGTAAAAGACTTTCAGAATCAATCAGGACACTAAAAAAAAATGTGGATGTGTGCTTATTAATAGTTAAAATTAGCAGAACAATGCCTAGGTTAAAAGAACGAAACAGGCAGGTTTGCAGAAAGATGCAGTGAGTGGGTAGGTGGATCTGGAGAAATCACACAGAATGTGACACAGAGCGACAAGGAGGTGGAACACACGGGGTGGGCGGAGACTGTAACCTGGTGCTCAGAGCACATCTACACGCGGGAAGCACACACCTGCACCTCTGGGTGCGCGGCGTGGGGCTGGCGTGCACAGCACGACTTTGTCCGGGAGAAACACCGGAAAAGGCCAGGGAGAGGGTCATGCGACAAGTGGGTGTCCTGAACCCCGGACAGGCGTGGAAGCCTTCAGAAGAGGGAGAAGAGCCTCGGGCGCAGGTCTGGTGTGCAGAAGCCTGGCCGACAGCACCAGCGACAGACAGCTGTGCCCGTGGGCGGGGCTTAGAAATGCCGCTGGTGTAAAACACTGTCCAGTTTGTGAGGCTGACACCGGTGGACGTGCAGTGCTTGCCGGATGGACAGTGATTCCGCAGAAGCTGGGGGCTGAAGCACCTGGGAAGCAG